GGTCGGAAATAAAAAAAAAAACACCAAGGAGTGGCCTCCAGTCTGCAGTAGCAGATGCTGGATCCCTGTTTTATCTTGGCTCATCCCATACCAAAACGTGTTGCTTAGGAACGGAATTTCGTCTGGATTCGTCCCACAGTTTGTAACAGGAGTGCAAAGACCTGATTTTCTCCAGTTTGCATCAGATCCCAGTATCTAGAGGAAGTGCTGGGCAAGCTCGCTGGAGGGCTTGCGATGGCCCAGCCACAGTGCGGTTTCGAGTGCTTTAGTTGTAATTGTCCTTAAGGGTCCCACTTGTTGGGAACCTGATTCACCCCAGCAAGCCCTAAGCTTCCTGTTTTTCAGGCTGGGCCAGGCTGGCCAGCAGGGCCTTCCCCTCAGAGCTTCCTGCCTCATGGCACTCATAGGAAAAATGCTATTCAGTCGACAACTGAAGCAAAAAGCGTTGGGCGCTATTCAGTCCATGGGCTCCAAAGAATCTAGTAGCTGGAATTCTCTCAAAGCAGTTGTTTTTGGAGTGCCCTTGAAACCACCATGAAGTGCTGCTGGGGTCCACGGCCTTTGTGAGATGGGACTGATGCTGGGTGCAACTGCACTAAATGTATGTATATTTGAAGCAAGAATTGAAACACATTTCTAACTAATTTGGCAATGGTGGCCTGTTTAAAACTGCATGTCTGGTTTAGCTGTTGGTTGTCCTAGGAGAGTGATATGAATAAGACATGTGTAGATGTGTTGATGACGTATAGATTCCCCTGGGCAATAGCAGGAGACACAGGTGTGTGTGGGGGTCACCTGGTGGCACAGATCCAGCCTGTCAGGCCGTCCTACCGGCCACCTCCTCCCTGGGACAGTTCCTGACCTGGTCTGGTTCCGAGTGCATCTCTTCTCTCGCTGTCTGGCTTACTCTTGGTGTCCTGATGTGTGTTTGTAAATCTCCTTTTCTCTCCTTGGCCTCCATTTGCACCTCTATCCTTCCCTATTCCGTCTCCCAATCCCAGGTGGTCTCCCTTAACTGAGGGGAGAGATAACTAACACATATCTCTGCCTTTATTTACTGAGCAGTTTCTGTGTATCCTGCCTCACATGAAATAAACGATGGGAGGAAAACATTCCACCCATCTTGAAAAGAAATATATAGTGATTTAAAATATTAATACACAGATTGATTTTGACACTGCATTCCCAAGCACAGAAGTAGGGCCAGCAATAGGCTAGCAGTACCGCCCGAGGAAGGACCTGTGGCTGTGGCATGGTGAGGCACAAAGCATGATGGCGGGAGCATGCAGGGCATGGGTGCAACCTGGGCACGTGGAATGGAGCCCCAGTTAGAAGCCACCCTTACTACCACAGAATTCTGCACCCTCTGGCCTTTGCACCCCCGCCCCTCCACACTTTCGCTTGGGCACATTCCCTCTGTTTGGCATGCCTTGGGTGTGTTCCCTTCTGTTCACCTGATCAGCACCTACCCATCTGCTGAGTCCTTTCTCATCCATGGAACCAGCTAGAACAGACTCCTCCTTCATGCCCACTGTGATCAGAGAGATGGTCTCAGTCTCCCGGCTCCCCTATTGCCCAGCATTGAGCCTGGCACACAACAGTATCCACTCGACACATGTTGGAGGGATCATGAGAACAAAGCCTTTGTCTCCTGCTTTACTAGAAGGACAACAAAGTGAGCTAATGCGGTTTTCCACCGACCCCATCCCTTCCCCTCCCTGAATCTACTCCCTTGCCTTGAGACCTGCCCCAGGTGCCCAGAGTACCTACATCCTGGCACCCTCCTTAGAGCCCTCCGGCAGGAAACTTCCCACTATTCTCACCCCCACAGGAAAACCTGTTCTCCACTCAAGCGTCCAAGTCCCCTGACTCACTGGGCCCTTGCCTTAGCCACTCTCGTGGCTGTTTTTTTCATCCCCATATCAGGCACATGCACGTCACAGTGAGCCAACCCCTGGGTGCAACCTGTGACACGGGTGTGGATTAAACAAGCAAGCAAAGGCGTCTGTGTCATCCCTGTAGGGAGGAAAGGCCAGGAGCAGCACTGCTGCTGCCCACAGGAAGGGGAGAGTTAGACAGCAGCTTCTCACCCCCGTGAGGCAGTGAGTGGAGCAGGTGGTCACTGTTCCAGAACATGGCATGAAATCGTTACACTACCTTGTTGGCCAGGGCACCTCCGGATCCATCTTCGCCTTTCCCAACATTTAGCTCTGACTGCTTGCAATTAGTATCTGAGAGGCAATCTAAAAGAGGCAAGCTGCATTATGGAGACCCCGGGAAAACTGCAGGGCACAGCTCATCTTGCACCAAGAGGCGCAGATGCCAAAGGTGCTTTCCTATACCTACTCAGCGGGGCCTCACCAAGGAAATGCGATCAAGAAGGTGGTGTTCGTCTTTAGCATTTATTTGTAACTGGAAAAAATCTGTTGGTTTGCTTTCTGAGCAAGCACAGACCACAAGACGCCACAATCAATTGGCTATACATGAATTTTTTTTTTTTGTCATTCTTTAACTAACAGCAGGAACGAAATAGCACCAAGAGAGGTGTGCACTACATGGTACATAGACAATCTGTGATATGCAACAAAACCCGGGCCACAAAATCATAGACACTTCCTCTCTGCCTCAGTGACCCAGCTGGATGTCTAGGAGCTGGGGCTGGAGAAGGGAAAACTGGGCACAGCTTGGGGGAGTTTCGCAGGCAGGCCAAGAAATAAAAAGTTTCCGTGCCAGCCCTCTTGCCCGGGATGAGCAGGGAACAGTAGGGAAATGTACAGAATGAGGGACAGGCGTGGTCACCTGCAGAGAGGCAACGCCAAACACTGCTCGAGGAAACAGTGTTACCCAGCGCTTTTGGGAGACAGAGCAAGACCCGCTGAGTTTGATTTGTAAACAGTAGAAATCAAAGGACGTTTCCTGTCAGTGGAGCGAAACATTCAAGTGTCAAAGTGACTGCAAACAGTTTTCGTGGGTGGGTGTGTGAAAAAGTTGAAGGGGACACCATCCAGGTCATCTAAAGCCTTGGGTAGGGCAGGGTAAGAAATTCAGCCCCTAAGGCTCTGGGGTCCTTGTGGTCAGCTATGACAAACTACAGTGTGCACATCACCAACTCAACTCAAAGCACATGTGAGACAGCCATGCACCTGGTGTCACTATAGAGCCCTGTCTGCCCACCAAGCCTGGCACAGTGCCCGGCACAAGGCAGAACATGAACGGTGAACGGATGACCCCCTGTGCATTGTAAACTCTGACTTACTCGATCTACAAAACACACAGCTATTCTACAGGGAAATCGAAGTGTGGCTAGCCGCAGATCTGGCTGCTGCCGGGGTTTGAGAGGAGCGCGCGCTGGCGGCTACAGTTGGAGCACTTCATAGAGTTCTCAGTAAACAGTAAGGTTGGCTAACAGGTAGCCAGAAACAGTACGGAGCTTTAGGTATTTCTGGACAGGCATTGAGACCTGTGAGTCGTGGCAACGCGACCCCTCAGTGTCTCCTCCCTTCTCTAGCACGCCTCACCGGCGTCTGTTGATGCCAAAGGCTTCATTTCTCGTCTGTTCTGTTAAAATGATGAAGGCTTACACAGCGCTGGTGAGTTAATTTACAAACGTGTCTCAACCAGCCCCAAAAGGTGCAAAGGAAACTTCACTGTCTGCAGAGCAAAACTGAGGCAGAGCTCGGGGGCTCCGCCTTCCCAAACTACAAGGACCTGAAGGGACTTCTGAGGGAGACAGCCGTGAGACCTTCCCTCGGAATCACTTTTACCACAAGAGAAAGCAAACTGGGGTGCACCATCCCACCTACTCAGAACGCTGAGCAAATAAGAACTTCCAGGACAGGAGCAATCTATACGTCACCAGAACATTTCTGGTGGAAGTTTTGGGTTCCCTCATAAGTAAGGAGGGTGGGTTTCTTCATAACCACTCCCAAATTCCTACAACACAACTCTAGGGGGCTACTCACACACAGGCAACACTGTAATACCGGAGTACACAGAGAGCTGATTCTAAGCATCCAAAGGCATAGATGCTTGCTAAGCCCTTAGCAGGGCTCACCACCCAGACTCTGACTGGATGCTCAGCACGGTGGCCTCTCTGGGAAGCAGAGCAAGAGCTTGGGGCGGGAGGGGGCATCACTGTGCTTGCTGCCGTGTCTACACACCCCACCTGCACGCCTTAGGAACAGAAAGTCACAAGTATGCTATGTGCCGCCTGCACACCTGACTGTTCTCTGCTAACCAAGCGTTCTGCGACATCTGCCGCATGCTGAGGGCAAACAGAGGACAGTGGGCTCCCACGCCTGGGAGCGCCCTGTACAACATCTACAGCATTCCAAACACTCACCCTCTGCCACTTCTGACCAGCCCCAGCCAGTGGCCTATTACTTGATACACTATTCAAAGCTCACCAATAGGCACGAAACACAGGCACACACTCCTAACTGAGGGTTCCAGGAGAGGGTTACTTCTAGTTAACAGACAGAATTCCATTTCATTGACAGTAAGGCCAAGGTTGGTTTGATGTTCCCTTGTCTTGAACATTTTCACGAATTCTAACTGTCGAAGCCCAAGCTGAACTTGGGTAACATGTAAGCATCTAATGAACTTGAGAAGCAACATTTGCCTAAAGTCCAAAATCCAAAGTGTGGGAGGCACAGGGGAAGGATGCCTTGCAGCAGACACTTCCAGTTCCACCAGGAGCCGCACTTGGCAGCAGTTGAGACCTGGCCCAACCCAGACCCACAGGGAGTTCAGAGCCAGTGCACAATGCTTCCTGGTGTCCTGGGGCCCTTGACTGGATGCTGTGCCACCCATAGGAAGAGGCAGCGGCCTCAGTCTGTGAAATGTGATTCCTCCCAGAAAAAAAATTAGCTGCAGGGCTCCTGTGACACTGGAACCAAGGCAGATGGGAAGTCTCTAAGTAATTTTGTGGCCTTTTTTTGTTTGTTGGTGTAGATAAAGGGGGGCTGGGGGAGGGGGGAGGAAAGTGCAGGGACATTTACTCTTTCGCCTCAGCCAGTTTATTGTTCATCTCTTTGCTCTGCTCCTTGTCGTCGGGCTTGGTGGCACTGGGGCCCTCTGCGGTCTTTTTCTTGGCGGCTTGGCCCGATACCGCCTGCTTGTCTTTGGCCTTCCTCAGGGGCTTATGGCTCGTTGAGGTCTTTTTTGGTTTGGAACTCTGAACACTAGGTTTCTCTACCTGCATGGGGAGACAGACAGACAGAACACACGTATAGAAACACAAAGAGGGGAAGTGGGAGAGGGGTTTAGAGAAAGACATCGAAGCGTTAGCGACAGAGTAACGATAGTGACCGGTGACAGAGTGGGCAGGCAGAGCGGGGGCGGGGTTTCCACCGTGTCTGGATCTGTAGGCTTCCTGTAGCAACACCATCTCACGCTCCCTGCCCTGTTATTCTCCCCCGGAGCAGGCCAGGTGGTGGGCTAGATAGCGGTTACAGAATCTCTTGTCTCTCCTCATTGGAAGGCTGTGCCTCGCTCGCTCATGCAGGCCCGGGCATGTGGCTTGCTGTAGTCAGTGTGCAAGACACTGAGCATCTCCAGGAGGGGCTATGTGGTCATGTGGGCCCTAGACTGAAGGGGGCAGGTATGCTTTCATAGAGATGAACCACAGTTGATCACAGCAACCCGGGGGTGCTGAGTGTCAGCCCGGCAATGGACACTACCAGCCGCGTGCTCATCTCTGGTTGAATCTTGACGGCTTCTCCAGGGCAGTCACTCCAGTCTCCAGGCCCCTTGTCTGGATCTTGCCTCTCATTCTGAAGATACAGTCTTGCCTTCTCTTTCTCAGAAAACTCTGGAGTAACTGGGCTTCCTGGGCCAATATGCTAAACCTTGCAGACCATCCCTAATTTCCCCAATAACCTCTCCTCACTCACACGGAATCTTCTCTCCTTCAACGCTAACCTAATCCTGGAGCCCATTTCACCTGTGGATGGACAGAGCTGGTGCTGGGTTTCCCAGGCTGGGCCAATTACTAACTGATTTGCTTGAATTGAGGAGGGCGATTACCAGGACCACGAAACATTCAGTGCTAAAACTAGACTCATCCCAGACACACTGGGTCAGTCTGTTGTCATCTTGGCTACAAGCTGGTCCTGTCATAAAGGAAATGCCAGCTGAGTGCTAGACTTGAAGACAAAGTCGGAGAAAGGCCAGTTAGGTTCTGGAGTTATTTTGGCCACCAGCCATGTTCTGTTATTACACATAGGAAAGGTGTTTATGTGCCCAGCCCCATCTGGCCTGACTTACAGAGGTGGGCCTGTGAGCCCACAATGCTAACCCTGCCCCACACGCTTCTCCTGTTATCAAGCTCATACTGAGATGAAATTAGGTAGAGCATAGTGTTAGCATAAAAACAAACAAACAAACACACCCCAAATCCTCATTCAGAAACTGCTACTTCAGTAATGAATAACCAGGAACATTTCTTGCACTCAGTGTGTTGTGACACACTTGGCACTCTGTTGGGCAGCGCTGATCGCGGAAGAGTGACGGAAGGATGTGTTTCAGAGACTGGGAGGGAAGGACCTTTCCAGGGGTTGGGTCAGGGTGGAGAAGGAGCTGCAACCCTGGGCCAGCTGCTCAGAGGCTAGAGCATGGCTCCTTTAGAACAAGGGGATTTGGCCCCCAGGTGAGAGTTTTCTGTTGTTTTTATCCTGCATTTCTCTACAGAATCTGCGGAGCCAAATGTTAAGTTACTTTTATGTAATGCTCCTTTCTAATGTGCGCTTTGAACTTAACTGAGGTACCTGTTGAAGATGGCCCTGGACCCATGTGCTGAGGAAGAAAGGCATGATTAATCAGGAGTTCCGGGGGAGGGGGCTGGCTAGAGCCCCCCTCTCCCCATTCTGCTTTCTCTCAACTGTTTAGTAAGAGCTGTCTCACCTTCGGGGATTCCTTGAAAGGCTCGCTGTAGAGGCTTCGTATTCTTCTGCGGTCCATGGCCTTGTTGTCAGCTGCCGTGGGCTTACTGGCCTCCCCTTTGAACTGGGCACTGTAGCTGGTCTCGTGAACCATCTTGTCGTCTGGGGGCTTGTACTGGGGCTTGGCTTTGATTGGTTTCACAGGCTTGATGTCTGTCCATGCTCTGAATTCGTTCCTGTGAGTCAAAGAAAGCATCAGTGATGAGAAACATCACAGGGCAGAGAAATGTCCCCACCCTGGCCACACACAAATCTGGCTCCTGATCCACGCTTGCGGTGCTCGCTGAAGCAGGGCTGGGAGTCGGCACCACTGTCTGTCGCCATGAAGACCAACAGCTTGGGGCTGGAGAAATAGCTCAGCAGTTAAGAACACTGACTGCTCTTCCAGAGGACCCGGGTTCAATTCCCAGCACCCACATGGCAGCTCACAACTGTCTGAAAATCCAGTTCCAGGGGACCTGACACCTTCACACCAATGCAAATAAAATAAAAGATAAATAAATCATAAATTAAAAAAAAAAAGACCAACAGCTTGCCTTCTCTCAGAGCTGTCCCAGGTGTGGAGCTCAGAGAAAGTGCTCGGGGTCCTTCCCAGGCCCAGATTCAGGGGATCCAGGACAGGTCTCATATGCCCAGTGTCTAAAGGAGGCTGAGATACCCTGCCCAGTCAGTGCTTTGGGAGCTCAGTAAACATGGGATGCCTCATATGTGAGTCTAAAGAGCTTCAGACTCGGTGGAGACCCATGCACTGCAGCCTTGCAGCAAACACCAAGGCCCCCTTGTCACTTGCTGTGTTGGTGGTGGAGATCAGCCCAGAGCCTGAGTATGAGAGGCAGGATCCTCAAGCCCTTCTTTCCCTGCTTCTCACGGTGAGGAACCTTTGCTGTCCAGACTCTTCAGGGTGACCCCTCCAGACCACCAGCAGCCTGGTCACTTTGGATGGGAGTCTCAGCGATGTGCCTTAGTGCAGAGCACGTCCCCCACATCATTCGGACAATAGCCAGGACTTGTGTTGGCTCTGTGTGGTTAGGATGGCCACCGTATGGGTGTAAATGGCTATTATTCTGTCACTTGTGTGACAGACACATTCACCTCCCCCCATTAGTGTTTCTACTCCCAGCAACCTCATGGTTTCCTCTCATCTGACTTTGCTGTCTTCATGGTTCCGGGAACTGAACCTAAGGACTCTCACGTGCTAGGCAGGCAGGCGCTCTCTGGCTCAACTATATTCCTTCTTCTTAATTTTATCTCATTATATTGCCCAGGATTTGAATTTACTGTTGCTCAAGCTGGCTGTGAACTTGTATTCTCCCTCTGCCTCCTCAGTAGCTGAGGCCACAGACCTTCACCGTTCGGCCTGGCTACTTGGCTCTTTCTAATCTGTCATAAAGATGGAAAGTAGGTGGCCCATGAAGTTCAAAACTGTAGGTGCTGAAGGCCCAAACAATCCCCCACTTAGCGGGCAGGAGCATCTGGGCAGCAGCTCTGGGGTTCAAGAGGCCTTAGTCTGTTGTCCCTTGGAGGGTGCGGGTGTTATAGACAGCTGTGCTTGGAAGAAGGGTTTAGTGTGGACAGTTGTGGAACTGTGTTGGTCCAAGGCCCCTCTCACCCTCGGTGATTCCTTTCTTTAAGGCTCAGAGATGAGAACCGCAAACATGGAGGCCAGGGGACCACGCTCAGCGCTGTACGTGAAGCCCAGTGCGCTGGAGGTCAGGGGACCACGCACAGCGCTGTACGTGAAGCTCAGTGCACCTATTTAGCTTCGCCTTTACCTGCTGATGAGCCCTTCCGCTTTGGGCCTTTGTTTTCTCGTTTGTAAGATGAGAGCATCCGGCTAGACTAGGTCCTGGCGAGCTCCGACCTCTCCTGTTCATTACTGGAGCCACTTGCTGATCTTTCCATCTGCTCCCCGAATTTCTCTAGATAATCGGCTCCTCTGTGGAGAGACCATTGTCTCTGGGAGACCCTTGTCAGAGCTCCAGGCCCATCTTTCTGGTGCAGCCTGGGCCTTCATCTGGGCATCTCGCGGGTTCCCCCGGCTCAGCATTGCTGCACTGAGATCCTCCTGTCTTCCCGCCCGTTTCCCTTCTCTTGGACTCCCACCCACAATCGTTCATTCACTCAGATTTTTCCCCCAGTGCCTGGGGAGATACTGAACACTGTGGAACTCAGACAAGTAAAAACAGATGCTGAACTTAAGTGCATTAGGCAGAGGAATTTGAGGTTACTACAGGGCAAGATGGGGCCCTGAAAGAGGAGGGGGTAGGAGCATGGTGGAGCTGCTGCTCCAGCCTGGAAGCATGGGAGGTATCTGGACCAGAGTCAGAGAGGGCTGGAGCTGGCCAACAACTCCATCAGGAGGATGGGAGGTAGAGGAGGGAGCAGGGAGCAGCTCCAGGGCTGCACGGCTCACCCAGGTGTTTCTACTACAACAATCATGGAGAACCTGCTGGCCATGCTAGGCCAAAGCTCTTCCCTGTAACGTGACTTTGCCCAGGGTTTCAAGCCAACAATGTAGACAGATTTAATTTGGAAAAGAACTGAGGCAGAGGTGTGAGTGAGGGACAGTGAAGAGAAATGGCTACTGATGGCCTAGCAGGAGACAGCGACAAACCAGAAAGGAAGACAGAGACTGAGCCAGAGAGAGGCGGGCGCAGGGACAGAGAAGGGACACTGGGTCAAGGGCACAAATGAACATGGGTTGTGGGAAGAGACCAGGAGATGCCAGGAGTCTGGAGTACGGGTGGTTGTGCCCTCGTGTAGATGGGGAATCTAGGAGAGGAAGATAAGGAATGAGGGCGGGGAGCTTATTGTTCCTTCAGTGGCACCCCAGCCCCTGGGAATCAAGGGTCTCTGTCTCCTCCCTCGCCACCTGCCTTAGTTTCATCCGGGTCCTCATGACCTGACTCCCACTCAGTGTGGTGCTCTGTGCAGGTCAGTGCTATTGGTCCAGGGTAGTGTGGTACTCCAGCTGCCACTGCCTCTGGAAGATTCTAGAGACTCCTCCCCCTCAGACAGAGCCCTACCTGCTAGACAGACCCAAGATACAGGCCTGGATCTCCTGCTATCAACACGGTAAGATCCAGCCTCCTCAGCCACGAAGCTCCCAGAACCAGGTCTCAGAGACACGAGCACAGTCCCTAAACTCTGTTTCTTTGTCCCTCCAAGAGTGTCCCGGAAGCATTCCGCGTTTCCTCACAGATCCTGTGACTGCAGAGTCTCTAGTATTAAGCTTGGGATGCGGCCCTGTGAGAGAAGCTAGGTCACCCCCAATCTTGAACACCCTTGGTACATCAGATGAACTTTTAAGAGAGCATCCCATATCGGACTCAGCCGTAGCTCTAAGCCTAAACTCCATTTCCTACGACCACTACTGAGCTCGCTTTAAAATTCTCTTCTAATGAGGCTCTTTGTGTTGGGAAGATTTACTGAGAAGAGGTCAGGCCAGGCCCCCAACTCTAATCACAGAGACCGTTTGCAGACTTGGGGGCAAGTTTCCTGGGTTTTGGACAGCTGCTCGGTACATTCAGAGCAGCCACTAAAGTGTGACTTCTGGGTTTGATCTGGTTTTCAGACACATACAGATGTCTGCCTTCACCTCCTGTCTAGACTTACGCCCCTGCCTGCCCTCAGCACAGCCTTTCCCTGGACCAATGCTTCTGATCACAGTCCTGATGCTTCTCCCTCCTGCTGACTGGCTTGGTACATGCCACAGGTTAAGTCTGTAGTACATATAGAACATGTCTTAGTTCTGTAGTCTGTAGACTGAAGTTTCTGTCTGCCTGATCCTACAGCCATTCAGTTCCAAAGAAACACAGAGACGCTTATATTAATTATAAACTGTTTGGCCTATTAGCTCAGGCTTATTACTAACTAGCTCTTACAACTTAAATTAATCTATAATTCTTATCTATTTTTAGTCACATGGTTTGGTACCTTACTCAGTGCAGCATTCTCATCTGTATCTGGGTGGTGACTGTAGACTGAGCCTTTCCTCTTCCCATAACCCTCTTAGTCTGGTAGCCCTGGCTACAGGTCAATCAGCATTTTATTAAACCAATACGAGTGGCAAATCTTTCAGGGTACAAGAGCATTATCCCCAGCAGTAGTCTGCATGCTATTCCCTACCAAAGGTTCCCACAGGATCAGGTCCACAATCTGCTCCCACAGTTCCCACGTGCTGATTCCTCAGGGTGTCATGTGATGTGGGAGTTCCCTCTGTATGCTGTGAATATGTTTTATTACCACTGGTTAATAAAGAAGCTGCACAAAAACTATATTAATCACAATACTGTTTGGCCAATGGCTCAGGCATATTTCTAGCTATCTCTTATATCTTAAATTAACCCATTTATATTAATTTGTGTATTGCCACGAGGCAGTCAGTGGCTTACTGGTAAGATTTTGGCATCTGTCTGATTCTGTCTTCTTTCTCCCTGAATTCAGTTTAGTTTTCCTGCCTACCCACATTCTGCCCTGATATAGGCCAAAGCAGCTTCTTTATTAACCAATGGTAATAAAACACATTCATAGCATACAGATGGGAATCCCACATCAATCATTTGGTACCAAGTTACCGGCCTAGTGTCGTTTTGTCTCTGCCAGCTATTTGGGGAGCGTTTTGTGCACAGCTGCTGTTCAGGGCTCCTCAGGTGCATTACTGCACATCATCCTCACCTCAGCTCTTTGCAGAAATGCTGGCCTGTTTTAGTAGTGAGATCCCTGTGTCACGCCACCCTTCCCCAAATGCATAATGTACGCCGTCCCTTTCAAACTGCTGAGTTCTGCTACTTCAGTCCACAGTTCCAACTACCAACACCAGCAACCTCCCTTCAGCACCTTCCTCAGCCCCAGGCAGAATTCGGGGTTCTTGGCCCACCTCTCTCCAAATCAGTTGCCAAGCGCCATCTCTCACACCTGGAATTCTGGAGTAAGGGCTGGACTGACAGCCGCTAAGCCAGCTCCAGTGCAGCTGTATTTCGTGTTATAAATGTCAAACGTGGCCTTTGTCCTCTTCTTTTGCATCTTTTCTGCTCTCAGTGTGGTCCTCATCTGCCAGGACAGAGATGCAGCCTCCGTCTCCTTGGAAACTGCTGGACAGGAAGACTCTGGTCCTCCCCAAAGGGGCGGACATGAGCTTACTGCACAAACATCACAGGGCATCTCTGTCTCATTC